AGAGAGAGAGAGACTTAATTTCAGCGATTTTGCTCATGCTAACAGTTTAGCAATGGAATTTTTCTTCTCCCAGGTCTACTATATTTTATTGGAACCAGCTTCTTTGTTATTTTATATGAAACCTTGCTGTATGCTCCCTTTGAGCGGATGAATAATATATTAATATTTATGCTCCACTCCAGTGGAAGCCACATCGGTACAATTCTTTCACCTCTATCAATCGAAAAGAATGATTAATTGAAAGGCATACAGATTAAACACTTCTCAGCCCGTTCCCCTAGCAACGATCACAGACTATTTTTACCGGAGCCCAGGTTTCTGCCTTGAGCTAAGTTTGCAAAGCACCTGAGCAGAAACTGGCATGTTAGCTAATCAGTTTGTCATTCATCTGCCTGCTTCCAGAAAGCAACTCTAATGAACCTCACATCAGTGTTGAGAAATGGCAAGTGGCGGGTCATCAGTGGCCCGGGCTTGCTGTTAATTTTTAGGGCGCAATCACCAAGCTTATGACGGAGACGAGGATCTGAACGTGATTACAGCTATGCCATGAGTCACTTGCCAACTGAAGGGAAACAAGGTTGTTCTCATCATTTATAATTCCCTGAGACATCCTTGTTGCTGTGGTGACCCTGGGGCCCTTTAGCATGGTTAGTCAATGACAAATGTGTTGTATGTGATGAACTGTGACAGGGTCAAGAACTATAACTGCACAGTCCAACAGCTGCAGCAAAGCACAGACCAGAGAGAAAACCCCCATCAATTCCCGGCCAGTACTAAGGCCCAGGCACTGCCCTGTTGAGACTCTGCTCTTCACACCTGTAGCCTGGCCTCGTTCCAGAGACTGAGTTCCCTCTGCTGCAAAATGAGGGGAAAACACTATCACCCCTTCAGCGTGTGGATCCAAGGAACTGGCACCCCATGAGCTCAGCATAAGAATATGGAAATTTTGGTTGGAAGTGCCTACTACAGAAGGCACCACATACTTTGGTGACAGGAAAGATCATAGAATTGACAGCCTAGCTTTTACAGTACCAGAAACTGCTGTTCAGGCTGCTTGGGGAGAAAAGACATCAATGATCTTACCTAGCTGCGTATGTAATGACCAGCCTAGCCCGATAAATCCGTTGGTGCAATAGTGGCATGCATATTGTGGAGGTAACCAACATCTTTCTGCTTGGATTTATGGCCTACCACAAAGGAAGGAACTTATCCTTTGTACTGTAAACATGGCAAGAACCTATTGCTGACCCTAGGAGAGAACCTACTACTATTATTTTGCTTAGTGGACATAGTATCAAACTGTCTTCCAAAAAGTTATCTTTTTTTTTCTTTTGTTGAAAATAGATTCATTTCTCATGCAATATATCCTGATTAGTTTCCTCTCTTGTGGCGATATATTGTTTATAATCTAATAAAGCTTGCCTGAAGATCAAGATGCAAAGCTAGCCACAGCCGCAGAGGCCAGACAGTGGTGGCACATACCTTTAATTCCAGAACTCAGAAAACAGAGACAGATGGATCTCTGTGAGTTCAAGGCCACCCAGAGCTACATGAGAGTGAATCAGTCTAAAAGAGTAAGAGAGCTCATGCCTTTAATCCCAGCACTAGAGATGTATATAAGACAGGAGCTCAGGGTCTCATGGGGTATTCAGTATAAAAGTCTTAGGCAATTAGTCTCCAGCCACTTTGAGGACAGGATCTCCCCAACCCTGGTAGAGGGTTTTTCTGTGGCTTTGGAGGCTGTCCTGGAACTCGCTCTGTAAACCAGGCTGGCCTCGAACTCACAGAGATCCGCCTGCCTCTGCCTCCCGAGTGCTGGGATTAAAGGCGTGCGCCACCAATGCTCGGCTTGTCTCTGGGCTTTTATTATTCATGCTATACCCTCTTGCTACTCCTCCCGGCTCTACCCTTGCTCCCTCCCATTCAGGTCCACTCCCTTTCTGTCTGCTGTTAAGAAAGAACAGGCTTCAAAGAGCTAACAACCAAACACAACAAAATATAAGATAAGACAAAAAATAAACATCACATTGAAGTTGAACAAGGCAGTAAATGAACAGGAGGAAAGGAGACCCAAGAGCAGGAGCAAGAATCAGAGAACTACTTGTTCACACGTTAAGGGGTCCCACAAAAATATTAAACTGAAAGCTAAGTGTATAGGTGTTTTGCTGCTTCAGTCTCCGTAAGTTCATATGAACTTTACCCAGTTGATAACTTAGAGGGGGGCTTGTTCTCCTGGAGTCCTCCATCCTCTCTGGCTCTTAACACTCTCTCCACCTCCTCTTCTGCAGGGTTCAACTCTCACCCCTCATTAGGGAAACTTCCTTTTACATTAGATGACAGTTGGTGCAGAGATTCACAGCTGGTCAGAGTGTAGACAAAAGTTGACTGTGGAGTCCTCTGCCTTAAATGGTACATCTGTAATTGTACCCCTTTCCCACGTCTCAGGGAACAACCAGAGAGAGGGACAGAAAAAGGCTACACGAACTAAAGCTTGGAGACGACCGCAGAGAAATAAAGCATGTCCTCTGGACATGACGGGGCTGTTGTACTCAAGAACTTGTGGACGCTCTGGATACCTGCTCATGGTCAAGCCGGTCAACATTCCAGCGTGGATGAGGGAGAGACTCACAAGGCCCCACCCCTGGATGAGGGGCTGTGAGCGGTTGATGGCATTTTTTGATTACACAGGGAAGCCCATGATTTAAGGAGGACAGAACAGTGCTTCTGATAGTGAATGTGTAATCTCACTGTCTGCAGTGGGTAATATTTAGAAATCTATGTCTGATGTAGATAAGAAGTCATCATGGGCAATTTTCTTAACTCTTTTGAGTTTCAAATTCACAGACTATCTCCCATGTAAAAAGACATTCTGATTTTTGAAGTTCAGCTGGAGCACCCTTTTATGTCTTCCAGATATTTTTTTCTTCAGATGCAGTCAGTGTGGTAGTCTTTTTTCTTTAATGTTTCGTGCAATATAGTTTGATCAGGTTTCCCTTCCCCCGATTCCTCCCAGAACCTCCATACCTACCCAACTTTAGCACCCCCCTCAAAATATTATTCTGAATAATATCAAAACAAGCAAACAAAAAAAAAAGATAAAAACTGCCAAAACAAGTGTAACAACAAAAAAGCCACTAAGTCTGCTTTGTGTTGGTCATCTACTCCTGGACAAGGGGTCTGCCTGGAGTGAGAAACTTGAGTGATTTTCAATCCCAAGGATTCCCTTGCATCCTTCGGCCAGTGCCTTCAGCAGTGTGAGATCCAGCTTTTCACAGGGGGAAATTACAGAAAGATAATAAAAGCACGGAGCTACGCCGACAAAACAAGTTGCTGCGAGCAAATTGCTTAGTATAGTTAAACGTAGCTGGTGAGGTGCTGGGTCAATTCCGGTAACCAGGAACTACTTAGCATCTAAATACCAAGTCCCAGTATGCAAGGAGCTAAATAATGTCTCATTGCTGGGTATGCTGGTGCCCACCTTTGACCCCAGAATTCAAGAGCTTGAGGCAAGTGGCCTGAGAGTTCCCAGCCAGCGTGGGCTGCACGATGAGTTACTGGCCTGCCCATGAGACCCTAATACACACATCATATACATATACATATACATCATCTACATATACATATATGTGTGTATGTGTATGTATGTAAATGCATACTTATAGTCATTTTATCTTATCGTTGCAAACCTGGCCAGACCCCCCTCTAGGACTTCTACTCCCATTTTCATTACCGAGAGGGGGCCATGCTTCTAGTGGTCTCTTTAGCGCATATCCCATTGTGGCGCGGCATCTTCAACTTAACAAGCATGTTGACTTAGAGGTAGCGTTATGTTTGTGTGTCTGCTGGTCCCCCCTTCCCCCTCCACGTACCCCTCTCCTTCCCCCTTCCTCTTCCCCCTCCCCCCACCTTTTGTAAAGCATGTCAGCGGTAAAACCAGCCTCACCCTGGTTTGTCTCTTTTTTGATGAAGCCCCAAATACAGGGCACCATGGCACTGTGGGCTCTTTTTGACTCCTTGAAGGATTAAAGTCCGTGGTTGTTACGTGTGTATTTCGCCATTGGAAGAAGGATGAAGCTAAATAGGTACTGGGTTGAGCCCATGCTGAAGCAGGGGGGGAAATAGGGGGAATTGGAAGTGGTGCCGTAATGTAATCAACGTAAAGCAGAATTTGTAATGCCCTGATCAGCTCAACGGAAACGGAAAAACATGGGAAAGCAATGCACTGGCAGCATCCTCTCTGTGGACTCCGCAGTGAGGGATGTAGGACAGGATCCAGCAAAACTTGAGGGGGAGGGGAGACCTGACCGGTAACTCTCCCAAGTCATAGAGCAAGCAGGATGCTGAACAGGGAGGCAATTTCAGTGACGTGTAGCGTGCGCTGTATGTGTGTGTGTGTGCGCGCGCGCGCGCGCGCGCGCGCACACGCTGGAGAAGCCAGCAAGCACAAATACTGAGATGGGGCAATTGGCCATTATGAAAACATCACTGAGACCAGATATAAACTAACAAGAGCTCGGAAAGAATGGATGAGTGGGGAGGAAATGCAACTAGGGAACAGAGCGGTGGTCAGGAAGAAAAGAAGCAGACACGGGATGGGCGCGAAGTCAGAGACCCCAGGACGAGCCGGGGAACACTCCCCGACTCCCAAGGAGGCAGGTCGGTGAAAAGTTCAAGTCCAGCGGCTTTCCTCCCCATCATCTGCTTCCAGCTCAGCTGCTGTTGTTACGTGTGAGAAAGCTGAGAAGTTTTAAGTCACCAGAGCCAGGGGTTCCCACTTTCCAGATGCTCTGCGCTCGGCTAAGACGGCAGCATGAGTGTGTGTGTGTTAAAAAGTGGTTACGGTAAAACTTTAATTTAAAAAAATGAATGTCTAAGGGTCTAAAGATCTAAGGGTTAGATAATTTATCTCTATGCCAGAATCATACGGGGGGGGGGGGGACTTTAAGACGTTCCATTTTATTGAAAGTGAACTGTGACCTGTCTCCTTTACATCTGACCAGGTTCCCCAAGATGAATGGACAGGGTACACGCCTCGCGGGAAGGGCGACGAGATCCCCTGCCGAAGGATGCGAAGTGGCAGCTACATCAAGGCCATGGGGGACGAGGACAGCGGGGATTCAGACACGAGTCCCAAGCCTTCTCCCAAAGTGGCCGCAAGAAGAGAGAGCTATCTCAAGGCTACACAACCCTCCCTTACAGAGCTCACCACACTCAAGTGAGTAACCCTACCTGCGTGCTCCCCTTAGTCAACCCCCACCCCTACCCCCAGCCCCGCCCTGTCCCCCCACACCTGCGGTGTTAGCACCTAGGGTCCAACTGATGACAAGACAGAAGCAGAAAATGTCCCTCAGCTGCAGTGTCGTAATGACTGGACTGTTGGTTTTGGACATTGGATTTGGCTTGTAAATACCACTGTCATAAAGACAGAGAAATACAGATGGACTCTTAACCCTCAAAGGCAATCAGAATGTTTTTGGAAGGGGAAAAAAAACAGCGAGATTTCTGGTCAAGGGAGAGGCCGGTGTACCCCACCCAGATTTGGAACTTTTTTTTTTTTCAGCTACTAAATATGCAAGTGAACTCTTCCTTAGGAGACTTGGATTTTTTCAGAAAATTACGTCGTGTGGTGGAGCTGTTTGTGTCAGAGAAGTTTATAAAATGAGATCGTGGTGGGGAAGCTGGGTAGTGCCTGACAATTCCCGATATGCATGTTTGAATTTGGACTCCGTGCATAGTACAGTTTGCAAGGCCTTAAAAGTGCTTCTGTTTGTTTGTTTTGGAAAAAATGTGTGAGCATGAGCACTTATGTTTGTGCCATTTGGAGAAAAACAACTTTGCACAGGAAACAACTAGAACTGACTTTTGGGGGGAGGGCGGGAGGAGACAGTTCTCACCATGTTGCCCTGGCTAGCCTGGTGCTCACTATGTAGTCTAGGCTGGCCCTGAGCTCAACAGAGATCTGCCTGCCTTGGCCTCCTGAATGCTAGAATTAAAGGTGCTGCCACAACATGCAGCCCAGATACTGACTGTTTCAAACAGACCTAATTTCTAATATTGTTCATAGAGAGCCTTGGAAAATAGAACTATTTGCCCCTAAAAGATATATCGCAGGTAATTGGTAGGATTTTTTCTATAGATTGTATTTAAATTAGAAGCAATCATATTTTATATATCAATCATAGTTCCCTCTCCATCCCATCTTCCCATGTCCCCCCAACCCGTCCCCCATCCACTCCCCAGGGAGGGTGAGGCCTTCCATGAGGGATCACCAAAATCTATTAAGTCACTTGGGGCAGGGCCCAGGCCCTCCCCCATGCATCCAGGCTAAGAGAGTATCCCTTTATGGGAAATGGACTCCTGGAGTCTGTTCATGCACCAGGGATATATCCAGCCTGAGGTCCCATAGACAGCCCAGTGCTCCCAGCTGATTGATACCCGGGGGGGGGGGCTGGGTTGGGTCCCATGCTGGTCCCCCAGCCCATGAGTTCCCACCTACTCAGGTCAGCTGTCTCTGTGGGTTTCCCCAGCATGGTCTTGACCCCTTTGTTCATCACACCCTCCTCTTTGAAACTGGATTCCAGGAGTCTGGCTCAGTGCTCAGTTGTGGTTCTCTGCTTCTCCTTCCATCAGCCACAGGATGAAGGTTCCAGGATGGCATATAAGGTAGTCATCATCTCATTATAGGAGAAGGGCATCCAAGGTAGCCTCTCCACTATCGCCTAAGGTCCTAGCTGGAGTCATCCTTGTGGATCTCTGTGTAATTCCCTAAGTGCCAGATTTCTCCCCAAACCCATCGTGGCTCCCTCTATTGATATGTCTCCTTTCCTGCTCTCCTCTATTCCTCTCCCCACTAAATCTTCCTGATCCCTCATGCTCCCCTTTCCCCTCCTCTCCTTCCCTCCTCCCTCTCTTATCTCCCTCCCCCTTCCCCCATGCTCCCCATTTGTCCAGGGGCTCTTGTCCCTTTCTGCTTTGCTGGGGGACCGTGTATGTCTCTCTTATGGTCCTCCTTGTTTCCTAGTTTCTCTGGCAGTGTGGATTGCAGGCTGGTAATCCTTTTCTCTATGTCTAATATCTACATATGAGTGAGTACATGTTTGTCTTTCTGTGACTGGGTTACCTCACTTAGGATTGTTTCTTCTACTTCAGTCCATTTGCCTGTAAATTTCAAGACTCCATTGTTTTTTATTCCACTGAGTAGTATTCCATTGTGTAAATGTATCACATTTTTTTATCCATTCTTCAGTTGAAGGGCATCTAGGTTGCTTCCAAGTGCTGGCTACTACAAATAATGCTGCTGTGAACATAATGGGACAGACATTCTAGTTGTATGAATGTACATCCTTTGTGTGTATTCCTAAGAGTGGAATTGCTGGATCTTCAGGTAGACTCTCGTTCACAATTCAGAGAAACCACCATACTGATTTCCAAAGTGGCTGTATAAGGTTGCACTCCCACAAGCAATGAAGGAGTGTTCTGCTTTCTCCACATCCTCTCCAGCATAGACTGCTGTTGGCGTTTTTTATTTTAGCCATTCTGACAGGTGTAAGATGATATCTCAGAGTTGTTTTGATTTGCATTTCCCTGATGGCTAAGGATGTTGAGCAATTTATTAATTGTCTTTTAGCCATTTTAGTTTCCTCTTTTGAGAATTCTCTGTTTAGTTCTGTACCCCACTTTTTAGTTGAATTATTTGGTGTTTTGGTGACTTCTTGAGTTCTTTGTGTATTTTGGAAATCAGCCTCTGTCAGATGTCGGATTGGTGAAGATCTTTTCCCATTCTGTGGGTTGCTGTTGCTGTTTAGTCTTGTTGACTGTGTCTTTTGCTTTACAGAAGCTTCTCAGTTTCAGGAGGTCCCATTTATTAATTATCAATCTCAGTGTCTATGCTACTGGCATTATGTTCAGAAAGCAGTCTCCCGTACCAACTTGTTCATGGGTACCTCCCACTTTCTCTTCTAAGAGGTTCAGTGTGGCTGGATTTATATTGAGGTCTTTGATCCATTAAGTTTTGTGCATGGCGATAGGCATGGATCTATCTGCATCCAGTTAGGCCAGCACCATTTGTTGAAGATGCTTTCTTTCTTCCATTATATAGTTTTAGCTTTGGTAATTGGCGTTTTTAAAGTGCCCTCTTGGTAAAATGTGTGTGACTAATACTATTTCTGCACTTGCATTAGGTTACAGAATGAAATGTTAAGAAACAGATAAAACATAAAAGGACTAAGTAGCTGGGTTAAAATATAAATATAAAATATAAATCAAACTATTGATCAAGAATGTTGAAAAGCAGCTGACTGATCTATAACAAGAACTATTTAAATAACGAAGGACATAAGGAACGAGGCAGGAAAATCTACTCTTGGTCCCTTTTCAAGGGACCATATGGGATTGTTCTGAAATCTTTTTAATTGAAGATTAGCATTGATACATTAGTGAAGTAACCCACAAAGAGAAGCTGTTCTTTCTAACCTTCCCATGCCGCGTTCCTTCATTTTGCTTTTGTTTGTTAGTTAATTGGGGATGCCATCACAAACTTAGCACAAACAATGAATTTACTGCCTCCTAGCACAGGAAGTTAGACATGTAGGGAAACACACCTGCCAAAACCCACAGTGGTCAATCCTCCCTTGTTTCTTTTGGATTCTGGTTGAAGCCAGCAACATTGGTATCCCTTGGCTGACGTCACATGACATTACATGGTGCTAATTTCATCACTCTCACGACACCAGCCATAGCGTTAGGGACCTCCCTAATTATTCTCATGTTAACTTGATTGAATCTTCCAAGAACCTGTACTTGCTGTGAGCATTCACAGATGCTGACAGCATACCTACTTGGGGGATATGAGTCAACCTATAAAGTTACTACAGGGTAAAAGTTGTTGTGGACATTGAAAAAGGGAAACAAATCCCTGTGGAACTTTGACACAACTGCAAGAGACCCAAAAAATTAAGTAGTTAACTGCTTTGGTTAAAAAAAAAAAAAAGCTTCTGGTGCCCTGCTCGGAGCCACCTGAGGCCTGGGGACTGCACACTGGGGATCCCATCTGGGCAGTCCTGCCCACCCATAGACTACCAAGGCCCAAGTACTAGCCCCACCTCCACTCACAGGAAGAGGAGAGGCATTGGAGTATTGGACCTGCTTGCACCCACTGGAAGGGAACCTTGGTCCCATACCCACCAGGAGAGGAAGACACTCCTCCTGCACCCACTGGAAGAAGGGATGTGAAGATAATGATATAAAAACACATTCAACAACAGAAAAACTAATATGATACCACCAGAGTCTAGGGACTCTACACCAGCAAGACCTGAATACCCAAAGTCAGATGAAGTAGAAGAGAATGACCTTAAAAACAACTTCATAAAAATGACAGAGGTCCTCAAAGAGGATATGAGAAAATCCCTTAAAGAAATGGAAGAAAAAAAACAAACCAAAAAATACAAGAAATCAACAAATCTCTTAAAGAAAGCCAAGAAAAAACAATCAAACAGATGACAGAAACAGTTCAAGACATGAAAACTGAAATAGAGACAATAAAGAAAACACAAACTGAGGGAATGCTGGAAATAGAAAATCTAGGTAAATGATAAGGAACTCCAGATGCAAGCATAACCAACAGAATACAAGAGATGGAAGAGAGAATCTCAGGCATTGAAGATACACTGAGAGAAATAGATTCATTGACCAAAGAAAATCTTAAGTCAAAAAAATCCCTAACACAAAATACCTGGGAAATATGGGGCACTATGAAAAGGCCAAACCTAAGAATAATAGGTACAGAAGAAAGTGAAGAAACCCACCTCAAAGGTGCAGAAAACCTATTCAACAAAATCATAGAAGAAAACTTTCCCTACCTAAAGAAAGTCATGCCCATAAAACTACAAGAAATGTATAGAACACCAAATAGAGTGAACCACAAACAAGTCTCCTCGCCACATAATAATCAAAACCCCAAACATACAGAATAAAGAAAGAATATTAAGAGCAGCTAAGGAAAAGGCTAAGTCACATATAAAGGGAAACCTATCAGAAATACACCTGACTTCTCCATGAACTCTGAAAGCCAGAAGGTCCTGAATAGATATTCTACCAATACTAAGAGATCAAGGATGCCATCCCAGACTACTATACCCAGCAAAGCTTTCAATCACTATAGAAGGAGAAAACAAGATTTTCCATGACAAAACCAGATTTAAAAAATACATATCC